AAAGGAAATGTTTGGCCTATCTAGTCCCTTATTACTCTTCCTAACATAAGTTTTTTTTTTATTTTTTTTTTATTTATTTCTCTACTTTGAATATGTTAATGATTTGAAATTCGGCCCGATCAAAAAAACCCCCTAAAACATATAAGATTTTGTATGTTCTTATACCCCAAATCCGTCCAAATGACCCCAAAGTGTCTGTCCGTGCCCCATCAGGATTTGAAAACAAGCCCTCGCCCACAGAAAAAGGCAAAAAGCTAACAAACACGAACTATTCTTGAAAAGAAGCTAAACCGGCCAAGAAATCAATTTCCAACTGTCGCAATGCGAACCTTACCTATTTTTATCCATGCTTTGCATCACATTATCTAATAATCGTCGGGCAACTATTTTTAGTCCTCAGATGCTTAGACATTATAATCACTAGCAAGACCAGAGAGAGAGAGAGAATGGGGGACACTGACCGACTAATTTATTTTAAACCAAAACTTTGATAAATTAAATAATGTCTTTGTTTCCTTAGAAAGCTGCATAGGATAGGAAGTCGTGTAGAGCCATGATCGTCCACGTCTTTAAAGGACACGGTTCAAAGAAGAAGGAGAAATACACTGGATGCAACAGCCAGCGGCGTATAAAGTGGAATCGATGCGCAGAGTTCAAGTTAGCGCCTCTTCTCTTACACTTACATTTGCACTAATACTTTTGGACAAGGCATGAACCTTATCTCTTCTACCCAAGCTATGCGTTACATCACAATTTAGACTGGGCTCTGTATATTTCTAAGAGAAGGAAAACACTGAATTTCAAATCTTGAAGAAGACAACGGGAAACCACTTTACTGTTTTCACCAAGAATAAAGGGCAATTCTCAGATAACAAAGAAAAATCAGTGGAAAAGGGCATTGATTGCCCATGTCCTGAAGGGACAAGGAATGTCCAAAATGAAGAAATGCCATAAATGCGCCATCGGCTTACACAATGGAATCAGCATGCAGAATACAAACTCTTGTCTGTTGTTCTCAGTTTTGCACTAATTCATTTTTGTTTATGAACCCATCTCTTCTATTTTGAAGTAAGATCCTACCCATAAATTGGCTGAACTAACATTGGGTGGTTAACTAAAAAAAAGAGAAAGAAATATCTGAATTCCAAACCTTGAAAAAGACAATGGGAAACCACTCTACTGTCATCAACAAGAATGCAGGGCAATTTTCGGGTAACAAAGAAAAATCGTTGAAGAGGGCATTGATTTCCCATGTTCTGAAGGGACATTTATAAAAATTCAATGAAGAAATTCCATCTAGATAGCTTGCAGGTAACGCAACAACTTCGGTATACATATTTTCTTCGAGAATTTGGAATTAGTTTATCCCGCCGTGGATGTTGAGTTCATTTTTCGGAAAACACCACCTCTTCTCTTCACCAGCTTTACGTTAAATAATATGGTAGTGTTCTATAGCCTTATGTGAAAACTAATATAGCAGTAAGAAAACTTTGAATTTCAAATAATAAAGAAGAAATTTCTGGAAAGCTATGATCGTCCACATCCTATAGGAACAAGGCCTATAAATGAAGAAATTCTGTAAATAGATGTGCTACCGTCGTACACATTGGAATCGGTCAGTCGAGATTAAATTTCCGCCTTGTCTTTTGCACACACTTTTGCACTAATACCCTTGGGAATTGCATGAGTTCATCTCTTCTACCCAAGCTCTGCGTTAAATCGCTGTGTAGACTGGGCTCTGTAACCTTGGGTGGCAACTTGTCTAAGAGAAAGAAAACTTTAAATTCCAAATCTTGAAGAAAACAACTGGAAACCACTCCAATGTCTTCCCAAAGAATGCAGAACGACCCACAGATAACAAAAAAAAAAATTCTAGGCGGGCCATGAACTGCCATGTCCTGAAGGGGATCAGCATAACAAAAGAAATGCCACAAAAGTAGAACAATAATTATCTATACACAGAGTGGGATCGATGAACAGAATTCAAATACACGACTAGTCTGTTGAATTCACTTCCGCAAATATGCACTTGAGATAGGTATGTACTCATCTGTTTCTTTTTTACACACCCATGCTTTAAATATTAGGGTGGACTGGGCTCCCAACCTAAATGGTTGATTCAATCAATATAAGATTTGAATATTTAACTGTAAAAATATTCTTTTTACCCCAAAAATATGATGATTCACAGATACTAAAGAAATTTCACCTGTGAAGAATTGTTATAGTGGAACACACCTATTCTATAGTTAATAGACTCTCCCACCTATAATAAGTAGGACTAGTAAGAATCGCTCAGGTAGTTGGTCGGTTAGTCAACTGGCTGATCGGTTGAACTCTGCCTTCGGGCGGGCAGGAACCCGAAGGAGGCTACGCCGAAGGGCGGATTCTCTTTCGGAGAGGTAAACCGATCCTGGAACCCGTTTATTCGGGTTCAATGGGCATATTTATAGCCCGAGCCCCGAATAGCTCATATTTCCCACGTTAAACCGGCCTTGTGCCACAATGATGCCCTCGTGGGGGGGGTGACTAAATATCGTTGGTCGGTTAGTCGAGGTCGGGCGACAGTTAGTCGGATACTAAAGTATCAGGATCACAATCAGATTTCTGCATTATACCATATTATATCAAGTTCTAACGTTTTGTACGTCGAACCTATTTTAGGATGAACTTAAATAAAATACAAGCCTCCATTAGAATCTGATATTAATGCTAGTTTACCAATAATGCCATATAAAAAAACAAATACTTTCTTAACTCTGCTATGAATACAGTAGTCCACCGCTATTAAACGAATATGTTTACCGTCGTAGCCAACAATCAAATTTATCATGGGTGGTGGACAATTATTTTTTTACTCTGCCCTTTATTAGCGCTCACTTTTTTTTTTTTTTTAGAAATTCCTATTCCAACCAATTTCTAGGCCATCTTCTTCTAACAATAGACAGAACAAATAGCGATCATCAGACGGGTCCTAATTTGTTTTAATAATTACATATGGTTTTCGCATGTTTTTTCACCTTGATTTTGATGATCAAACAGACCAAATTTTGCGATTTTAAAAACATCGTCCGTTTTGGACCTTTATCCAATTGTATTGGTAATAATTAGAACATGATCTTTATTTTTCTATTTCGCAAATCAAAGAATTCGTACAATATCGGACTAATTAACAATTGGCATTCGATTATCTACAATCAGATACCACGGATAGGGTATAAATAATACCCACTTTTTCTCTGGTTGATCATGTTCAATTTGAAATTCCAAATAGTAGACATCAAAAATCTCTCATAAATAAACAAATATAAATAGCGTGTAGTAATTAAGGGTCGCTGAAAAAAAAATTCTTTAGGAAAAACTATTGACCTTCTACGTTAAAATTTATTGTATAAAAATTTGCTGTAAAACACTGAAATAAGTTGAAATTTCAATTCTCTTGCTTTTAAATTGCCCCACGCTAAAAAAATCTAATAAAAATTTCCCGGACAGTCAAATATTTACGTGTAAATTTACATCCAATGTTAATTCGAAACTTTAATTAAAATTTTGATAAAATTTGTTCTTTTGGATTCGACAATAAAAAAATTCGAACTCATTCGCGTTGCGATAGCCCTTACTGGCGTTTTGCATATATTTACTGCAAATGGACAATCGCTTGTCGTGATTATTGCGCACGCATTGATGCAAACAACGCCAATAATGGCTACCGTGATAATTGAATTGATACAAGAATGAGTCCGAACTTTTATTGTCGAAAATGTCCAAAGAAGATTTTGTAAAAATTTTTTTTTTATAAATTATTATTTTCACTAAAATTAGAATAAAAATAACTGTTCAGGAAGTTTTAATAGATAGAATATAATTCTTTCGAGCTATTATCTAATGTATATATCGCAAAATTTTCCGTTTAGAAAATAAAAAATAAGGTAGGTGTTCAACCTCCTATTATCGCCCAACCCCCCACCTGGGAACTAATGGTTCAAAGTCAGCGCGGGTCGGCCATCTTGGACGCCAAGGCCCGCGCTATAGCGTGGACTACTGTAGAAGTTTTCACATTTAAATAAACTTTTCCTATTATATGAACCTATGAGAATACTATGTGACCAACAACAACGTCCTGGAAAGAACCAACAGTCAATGCATCGAATTGCTGATCATTAAACACTCTTCGATGATCAGGACATGTAGCAAGAATAGAAGAATCAATGATCTCACGTCAAGTCTTATTCAGCGAGCTAACTCCGTGGAAAAGATCACGGGGCTGCTCTCTTCGAAGATACAAGGACCAACTCAAAACAACGCTGAAAGTCACTGGACTTGAGCTGAAATCGTTTGAAACACATGCACAAGACCACACCAACCGGCTATGTTCGATTACCATCGAAACAAAAAAATTCGAAGCCAGCAGAAGAGAAACGAAAGTCTTCCTCAAAAATATTGAAATAAAGACTCGATTAATCAACCTCGTCCTCAACAACATTATTATGCAGGCAATATATTATTTAATCTTCCATGCAAAAAATTTGTCTCAATTATTCATCAACGCCAAATATTAAAAAGAAAACGATCAGAAAAGAAGAAATTAAAATCTTGGAAATGAGATCAGACCGACGACGATGATTGTCACATTAATATGTAGTAATTTTTGTTTTTAAAAGGCTACTCTGATATGGTCACTTTCGCCGAAATTCCCTTGGCGCTTAAAGCAACATCACTTTAAATTATGGCCACATCACTTTAAATTATGACCACATCACTTTGGCCACGTTACTTTGAATTATGGCCACATCACTTTTGCCACATCACTTAGAATTATGGCCACATCGCTTTGAATTATAGTCACATCGCTTTGAATTATGGTCACACCGCTTTGAATTAATGGCCACATCGCTTTGAATTATGGCCACATCGCTTTGAGTTATGGCCACATCGCTTTGAAACACCGGTTCCCGTATATTGTTTTTATTAACTTAGATGAGTATGCAATGTGTACAGCTTACGGTCACATTACGTTAAAACATCGGTCTCCGTACCATCTCCGAAGTTAATCAACGTCGAGCCTGGTCAGTACCAAGATGGGTGACAGCTTGGGGGAATACCAGGTACTGTAAGCTTAGATGTGCAGGCGGGGTAATGGATAACGGCTCGAAATTGTTAATCGGAGAGTTTAATTCAAATTTCAGTTTTGTTCGTTATATTTTTTACACGTTCCACATTTGCCTTTTCGGATATCTCAGTTATTCCCTTTAACTCAACTAATCCAAGTTTTGATTCACCACTGCTATAGCCTAATAACTCACAACTCTTTCCCAATTTCATGTTATCTTTATTATATGTGTCTAGTATATTTGTTCTAGAGCAAATATAAATTTTTTATCTTATGGGCTATGTGTCCTGAGAACAATTCTCGTTAAAGGATGTCTGATGTTCCAATGAAGATGGAGGAGCGAACAACAGCCGAAACGTTTTGAATATGGCAATGAAGAAAAACAGTCTGGTAAGGGTAGTAAAGTTCTGTCAGAAAGTAATAAACATCAACTACAAGAAAACAGAATGCATGGTTGTTAGCAAAAGGGACAGCCCAACATACAAATTACAAATTAAAGATGCCAAAATCAAACAAGTAAAAAAATTCAAATATCTGGGAAATGTTTTAATAGAGCACAGAAAGTCCAAAACTGAAATCTGAAGGCGCACTGGGATAGCCAAAAATGCCTTTCAAAAGCTAAGTAAAGTATTAAGAGACAGAAAAACTTCATTAGAAACAAAGAAAAAAGTACTGAACTGTTACATGATATCTGACTTCTAATATAGCAGTGAATGCTAGACAATCGCCTCAAAGATTAAGAGAGTTGAAAAAACAGAAACGTAGTTCTACAGAAGGATGGTGAGGATACCTGTTGTGGTAGGATCCACCTAATTTGCATAGTGGAGAACCGACCATATAAATATGGTTGGTACCGGGAAGAGAAGGAGGAATCAAGAGATTCAACCAGAGACTCTGCCCGACTGCGACTCAGTCAACACATTCTCCAGGAACAGTCTTACCAGGAATATACAAAAGACTATATGTAAATATTGTGTACACTTTCTTGTTTCAATACATTTTGTTCTAAGTACATTTTGTGTTGCATTACTATTCCATGCATTAGTCAAGTTTCAACAATACCATAGACAGAATATGTGAGTAATGGCAAAGTTTTAGAGAAAATTGAAACAAAAAGGAAAAGAGAACTGAAAATTCTAGAGCACTTAATGAGGAAGGAGGACATGGAAAAATGGAAACGAAAAAGACACATAATTAGTATCAGAAAGAGAGAATTGAAATTTCTAGGGCACGGGATGAGGAAAGAGGGTTTAAAAAATTTGACACTCGCAGAAAATATTGAAGGTAAAAAGGACAGGGGAAAGCAGCACCTAACCTATCAAGTTAGTTTGTCTAAATGGATGGCAGAACAGAGATTAGGTGAGATTAAATCATCTCTATCTATAAAAGGCAGGATATGTGTGTGTGTGTGTCTGTGTGTAACGAATGCACGGCCGCAATTTTCGATGGATTTGCACCAAAATTTATATGCACATGCTAAACATAGTGGGAAAATTGTTTGGCTTTAACTTTGCATTTCCCAACCCCATCGATAGTCGAAATAATAGAAATTTTTTTTCATGCTTCTCTATCGGCAGTTTTAATGTAGTTTGCGGCCATTTTCTACTGGCCAGAAAGTGAGCGCCTGAAGTTGGCTGCCACGAATAGGCAGGAAGATCTTCTATTGCCCAGTGTGAGAGCCAACACCTGATAGACACGAATGTTAACTAGCATGCAAAAAAATTCCGCAGAACTGGGTAAAAAAAATGAAAAAACTATTTTGTTAACATTCTTTTTTTCATTCGGTTTTTCCAGTTAAGAATCACTTTTTAAATTTGATCGTTTTGTGTTCAGTTTGTTTAGTTCTTTTTTCGTAACAGATTTAATGTTTAGTATAGAACTTAGAAAAAAATTCGCAGTGTGATGATAAAGCAAATAAGGGACATGTAGTAACATCATCACGGCAAAGGGATAGAATCCTTTTTAAAGGCTTTTTCTTTAGGAAGGACAAAATATTTTAAGTCAAGTGATAATAAATATATATAAGTCATACGATTTTTGAATCAAGCACTGGCAACGCCGGGCCATGCTGCTAGTTCAGGGCTAAAAAAAAAATAACTTGTTGATTATGCCATGTTGAACAACATTGTATAAATCGAAAAAAGGACAGAGATTAGATTAGATTAAATTATTAAGAGCTAAAAAGTAGAGTAGATTGTGAAGTGCCATGTTGAATAATGTCCTGAGGGGACATGGTACATACAAGAAGAATAAGGACACAGCAAGTAGAATGTTGGACCCCAAAAGACAAAAACCTATCTGTATGAAAAAAATACGTAGGAGACGACGTTTTCGAAGCCGATTTTAAACTCCAAAGTCATATTGCTGACGCCACAAGATTAATGGCTCCAAATCTTAAATGTGAAAATTTTTTGCCATTCTACAGTGATACAAGGAAAAATATAAACTGACAGATTTTGAATTGTCAGTGAGTAAAGATTGGTTTTTGATTGATTTGATTTTTACGGTTTATCAACCTTTTGCAGGTTATTTAAATCCAGAAAATATTTTAGATTGTAAGAGATTTTGGGAGATAATAATGATTTTACTATTACAGTTCTTACATTAGAACTACCATAGTTGGGTAGGGAAGAGGTGGATTCATGCCTTTCCTCGGGGTATTTGGGCATAAGTGAATATAACAAATCCCAGTGGAATTGGAAATCGAGCCTCTAATTTCAAATTCCAAACCGTTTTTCATTACACCACCCGCACATCCAAACTGACAGCACCTGATATTCTCAAGCGGTCACCCATCTCCCCCCATAAGTTCGATGTTGCTTAATTTCAGTGATTGTACAGGAACGGACGTTTCAACATGATATAGCCGAAAGTCTATTTTTTTTCCCTTTTAAACATAAAAAAATGTTGTATGTACAAAAATAAACTTATATTTAAATGACATTTTATATTAATTTCGAATCTCGTTCCACGCATTGTTTGAATTCATCCAATTTCTTTTCCATCATATATAATATGACACACATTTTGAAACAAAAACCGTTTTACCTTCGTAAAGAAGGTGGGGTGGCATCTGTTAGAGTCCCAGTCATGAGCAAATAGTAACCCCCCTCCCCCAAAGAAAATAAATATGAAAGTATAAAAATATAATAAAATTATCAGCAATACATTTGTAAAGCAAAATGACCAACAATATATTTTATAATAGAATAGCCAACAATACATTTTATAGCAAAATGGCTAACAATATATTTTATCAGTAGTTGAAGGCATAGAATTGCGTTCAAAATATATTCAGTTGAAGCAATAAAATTATGTTCGAAATATTTAGATTTCGGCATTATATAACCTATAGATAGATGCAGATAAACCAAATCAACCAATTCAAATTCGGACAGAACTTATGGGATGACTTGATAGAATCGTGTTACCGTTCCAGATCGTTATCCAGTTCCACATATTCAAGATTTTATATCACGTTTACGAGGAAAATTCATGTTTTTTTACTCAATACATGACCTCATACGAACCAAACTATCAACAAATTCCGATGAAACCACCAGATATTCTTACGAATATTAAGGTTTCTTTGAATTTACCCATAGTTGGAACTTTATATGATTGCGAAATACTAAAATCTTTTGTAGAAATTCAATGATGAATCACCAGAAAAACCTTTATATATATATATATAAAGAAATATATTTTATTAATTTCTTGTTTTTGATGATAGAGAAATTGCATTTCTTTATATATATATATATATATATATATATATATATGAAGAAATATGAGTTTTATATATTATATATATATATATATATATATATATATATTGATATATTTTGTTTATATATATATATATATATATATATATAAATATAAATAATATAGAAAAATGTATAACAATTTATATATTTCATATATAAAGAATAAAGTTGTTCAATTTTTATATATATATATATATATATATTATATATATATATATAAAGAAATATACAACCCTGTCAACAAAAACAAGAAAATTAAAACAAAATTATCTATTATAAAAATTTTTTGATCTTAAACCTCATTGTTAAAAAAGAATGAAAGAAAAAAAAGAAAGAAAGATGCACCCAAAAAAGCTACCCATGAAAACGCATTAAAAATCGACATTGCTTAACTTAGGTGATCACAAAAGTGAAATAAACGAATATGATATGGCTAAATTATACCGATATAACGAAGCCGCCAAGAAATTAACTGTTTATAAAAAACGGAGAATGAAAGGCAGAAAATATTGATATCATGGAATTCTTATTTGAAAAATAAATGTGAAAAAGTTTTTAAGATTCATTTTAAAATAGTTTCATTTGTAAATGAAAAATGGTGGAATTTGTAGTGGTTTTTTAAGTGAAAAATCAGAAAGTCTTGTCGTTGGTTTGAGATTTCGTTTCACTTTAAAATAGAAAATCTCTGTTTGTCTAAAGTAGACTTAACCCGTGATAAACAATACGACGAATATGTCAAAACATTCACCATGACCATGTTGCGAAATAGAGAAGAAAGAAAGAAAGTGGAAAAGGAAGGAAGGAAGAACGAAAAAAAAAGAAAGATGCAGTAAAATAAAGTAGCAGTCAAAGAAAAAAAGAAAGAAAGAAAAAAAAAGAAAGAAAGAAAGAAAAAAAGAAAGAACGAAAAGAAAGAAAAAGTAAAAAAGGAAGAAAGTAAGAACGAAAAGACAGAAAGATGCAGTAAAAGAAAGAAAGGAAGAAAAAGAGTCAAGTAAAAAAAAAGAACGAAAAGAAAGATGCAGCAAAAGAAAGATTCAGTAAAAGAAAGAAAGAACGAAGAAAGAAAGAAGCAGTAAAAGAAAAAAACGAAAATTTTCATTTAAACACTTGGAGAAAGAAAGAAAAAAAGAACGAAAAGGAAGATGCAGTAAAAGAAAGAAAGAAAGAAAGAAAAGATAGATGCGGTAAAAGAAAGAAAGAAAGATGCTCTAAAAGAAAGAAAGATGCAGTAA